GGCCCCGCTCGCCTGGACTACACGGGGGACCCCGCCGGCTTCTGGGCCTCGAGCGGCCACTCGGACCAGGTCCCGTTTCCCGACCACAGTGCCAAGTACAGCCGGCAGAGCCGCAGCCGCGACAGCCTGGAGCAGGCCCAGTCCCGCGCCAGCTGGGCCTCGCCCACGGGCTGCTGGGGAGAGGACTCGGAGGGTGACACGGGCACCATAAAGCGGAGGGGGGGCAAGGACGTGTCCACCGATGCCGAGGGCAGCAGCATGGCGCCTGTGGCCGAAGACCCCAAGCCGGTCCCTACGCCCGTCCACATCGCGGTGACGCCCAGCGGCGCCAAGGGGCTCATCGGTGAGTTGCGCAGGGTGGGGGCTGGCCTGCCCCGACCGCCGGCCTCGACTCGCCCATTCCCCAGGGAGGCTGTCCTGAGGCTCAGCCGGTGCTGCTCCGTGGGCCTTCCAGGGCGTTCTCAGGGAGGTCTCTGCTGTGAGCCCGGGTCCGCCCATGTGGGCCAGCCCGAGTGCGGCTGCCCTCACGCCCTGTCTGACCCAGGGCTGGACGTTGGCGTGGTCCCGACCCGGTCTCTGTGGGCGTGCGTGGAGAGACTCCAGCGTGGCGAGTCCGTGAGCCTCAGCGGTCCGGGTCGGCGGCGTGGGTGTTAGCGGCTCGTTTCTCCCTTTGTTTGAAATGATCAGAATCGGTGCCCGTTCCTCATGAAGGGGGAATTTTTCTTTTTCTTCTTTTTTTTGCCATAGAGTGGGCTCCACCATGCCCATAAAGGAGGTATTTTTTCTCCTTGAAGTGGTTTCAGATGTGTTACTATGTTACTATTCTAGTTTGTTTCCTCGAGTACTCAGAACGATGCTTGGCAAACTCGAAGGTCGTTGATTGGGGAGGGGAGGGCACGGACTCCCGTGTGCTGAGGAAGGGTGTGGGTTCAGGAGTTGGCAGGTCACGTGACACCTGAGTCTGGCCACTGAACTTGCTTTAGGACGTGGGCCAGTCCTGCCAGTCCCTTCCTCAGGAGCTCGTATGAGGATTGCTGGGGTCCCGTGCACGGTCTCTGGGACAGCGCCTGCCGGTGGTCCCTGAACGTGGTGGGCGTGGTTTCCGTGGACGTTCGACGTCTTACTGCTGAGCTGCAGGATTAGGTCAGAGAGTGAAGAGGTGCGCATTCTGCAATGTGGCCCTCGTAGACGGCAAGCTCTCAGTGGGACACCGGGGTCACTGGGCGCGTCCCGGGCCACAGCGGGTGTCACGTTCCATCTCCTGTCGAGGTGAGCAGACGGCGACCACACTCTCTCGAGCTGGACTTTCTGGGCGCGTCCTGCTTTCTGCTTACTTAGCTTCCAGCATGGACACAGGAGCCCATCGACTGCCCCAGGGCTGGAGCTTGCCGCCACTGCCCTGGGGCTCCGGCCCGTCGGCTCCCGGGCACTCGCACAAGTGCCCAGCGTGCTTGAGGCTGGCCGTGCTGGGTCCGGACCACGGCACCCGCAGGTGCCCCTGGAGCAGCGCCTCGCTCCTGCCATGGAGCGGGCCCCCAGGGCTTCCTTCCGGCCGACTCAGACTCGGAAAGGCCCCGTGAGGAGTGGGAGCTAGAGCAGGGCTGGCAGGTAGGTCCAGGGCTCAAGAAACGAGCTTCCAGGCTTCACGTTGCCGATGGCGACCGTCAGCGACTAGAAGGGACATGAAGGAAAAGCCAGTGTTTTTCAGTGTAGCCTAAGGTGGGCGTCCTCTTCGGGTCTCCTTCGCAAGGCTGCCGTAACTCACTGCTTCCAGGGTGAGTCCTGAGGCCCGAAAGGGAGTGACTTGTCGGGGGCGGGACACGTGCCACACTGAGTGCCAGGCACCCTGGTCCTGGAGGGAGAGGGAATGGGCGCTCTCCCGAGTTCCCTTGTGGCCCAGCCTGTGGCACGTGGCTTTGTGTTTACCGTCCACGGTGACCTCTCCGCAAAGCCTGGCCTGAGCTCACTGCTGGGTTGGCAGGAGACATGGTTAAGCAGCAGGGCCCCAGAGCCCCGATGTCTGGTCTGGTCGGCCTTCTCCCCTGGTTGGCCGCCCGGCTGGTTCTGCCCCTGCCGCGCACAGCCACGCTTGCTTGTGCACGGTGCCGCTCCGGTTATCGTTTCTGTGTTCTGCTTAACGTGTGTGGCAGCCGTGTGCCCCGAGGCTGACTGTTCGTCTCTGCCACAGCACGCAAGGAGGGCAGGTACCGGGAACCACCGCCCACGCCGCCCGGCTACGTCGGGATCCCCATCGCTGACTTCCCGGAGACGCACTGCCACCCGACCAGGAAGCCTCCCGACTACACTGTGGCCCTGCAGCGCTCTCGCATGGTGGCCCGGCCCTCGGAGCCTGCGGGACCCGTGCCGGGGCCACAGCCGCCAAGCAGCAGGCCGTCCAGCAAGCCGCAGTGGCACAAGCCCGCCGACGCCCACGCGCCTCCGGGGCTCCCTGCCGAGGAGGATGGTAGGTGCCCACCTGGGAGACCGCCTGCTCGGACCTCTGCCAGGTCACTCGGGAGGCCGTGGCTGTCGGTGCCGTGCTGTTTGCGCGGTTTCCTACACGGCTAGAGAGATGCCCGGGAGCGCGGAGGATCACTTGTCATGGGGGCTGTGTCTGAGCTCTTCCTTAGCCCTCAGTACAGTCGCGGTGCCGCGCGGCCCTGCTTTCCAGGAAAGAATGACACCGTCCCAAGTTGGTGTCCAAGACTGTCTGGAAGCATCCTGAGCCGCCAGGACGGCTAAGGGTTCCCTGGAGACTCTCCCCGGGCCGTTAGTGCCTGGGGGCCCAGCCGGAGATGGTGGTCCAGTGTGGACCCCTGCCGTCTACCGGCCATGAAGCCTGAGGGCGGGGGCGACACCTTTCTTGGCTTTTTAGTTTAACGTTTGTGACACAGTCATTTAGAAAAAAGCAAGACCGTGGATGAAAATTGTCTATAGCTTGCCACTACAGGGGATTGCCACATCCGTTTTTATATGTAGCCCAGGCCACACGTGGCTGCGTGTTAAAGCGTGGACACGCGACTTTATACATTTTCAGGAATTTATTACTAACAGTTTTCTGATACACATTTCTAATTTAGTAAATCTATATAAGAGGTTTCCAAGAAGTCCAGGGAAATGGCTGTTTTTAAAAAAAATTGCATGGGGACCAGCAGTTGGCATAATGGCTACATTGCTGGACTCCCATGTAGTTGACCACGGTTCAAGTCCTGGACCTGGCGGCTTAAACTCACGCCAGGCGCGTGTGCGTGCGTGCCCAAGATCCCAAGAGGAGAATGGAGGAGAAGGGATTGCGGTGTGGACATCGCCCCTGGGGGGATAATCTCTCACTGTCCTTCAGTCTCTCTCTGTCTTTCTGGTGAGCCCATGCGCCCTATAGCAAAAACCTCAAAAAAAATTGATGATTTCAAAGTTTTTTGTATTAAAGTTGAACTTTAACTTTCCATAAATGTTTTAAAGCCCCCTTGCATTTAAAGATGCACATCGCCTGTATTTCTTTTAACCTTTTTGTTCTCGTTAATCCTCGCCTAGGAGCAGAACACGGGTTTTAGGTACGGTCACCAGGGCAGACGCCGCAGCGCTGCGGCCGGTCAGTGAGGGCTTCCTCTGTAGGAGGAGGCATCGCCACTCACTCACTGTTCTCTCCCCCTCCCTCCCACCCTGCGGCGTCCGCAGAGGACGAACAGGTGTCTGCTGTTTGAGGCGCAGTCTCTCCTGGACGCAGAGCGAGCCACCTGACCGAGGTGAGGACGCGG